CATTGCCATGAAGTTAAGGAAATGAGTCTTACAACGGTTTATTAATATGAGCTGCTTCGTGTTTCGGAAGGCGCGCTAAGCCAGTAGAAATAGCTTTTTATGCAATGGTTTTTAACAAACGTTTTTTTCTAAACATGCCAAAGTAAGCAATAAAAAATTACAAAAATAACTGTATTTTTACTTTTTTCTGTCTTTAAAAATGGCTGAGAAAATTAAGTTTAACCTTTAACTGTAGTGGTGAAAAATAGTCCACGGGACCCACCTATATTTGAATTTAATAAAAATACATTTGAATTTTATTAAACATTACATTAAACATTAGCAATCGTAGTGTTGAACAAAATCAATAATAGAAACTTTTATTCTTACCTATTATGGCATTTCTTTTAATCAGTCGTTATGTTCTGAACTTAAAAACCACGTTTTTGAAAAAAAATCATACAAAATAAAAAATCAATATGAAAAATTACATGCAACTCGTTTCATGTACAATAAATAATACTTTTTAAAATAGATAAAACAAAAACAAAAAAACTTTTTCCAAAAAAATATTTTTCCTGCCGCGCGCGATCCCAGGCGACGCGGCAACGTAAGCGCAGGGAGCGCGCGAAATCTCGGATAAAATATAAAAATGGATCTAGACTTCTCGCAGTCATAACTTCGTTAATACTGCATTTACACGGAATAACAAAACTAAAATAACATACGTAGTCTATCCATTGATGTAAGGTATATTTAAGTGTCATATTTTCACCCTTGTGTGTTCTTCATTGCTGTAACGAATCCTTCTTCTATTCTTATGAAAGGCATGTGCCCCAGCAGTGAAGACATCAATATGCAGATGATGATGGTACCCAGCTATTTTCGTAATTTTATTTAATGTTTACAAATCCAAAATTCGTCAAAGGCTCAAGAGCGTGCAATATCTTTGAAATTAGGCAGTAAACTCCTGTACACTCATTAAAGTTATCTACATTGTATCGTAAAATTATCATTTTGAAACGTTGACATAAAGAACACTTTATCGACTCCATAATTACAAGCCCCCGGGATCGGTCCCAGAGCGCATATTAATTAATTAAGGTTGCTGCTGATGATTAAACATTCGTACTTTATGTATGCGTACACAGAACATTGCGTGAAAATGGTATGGTACATTAGTATTATTGGAGTAGATTAGTTAGCATAATGATTCTGAACTCTTAGGCCGCGTTGTTCAATCAAAAGTGATATTGGCTGTTGGCCGTTTCATTACTACAAGAACTATTGTATAACAGAAAATTAATGAACAGAGAATAAATTTTTCACCTTACTCAATGTAAATGTAGCGAAATAGCCAAGCCATTATTTTGAATAAGTTGTAGGTAGAGTATGTGAAGCTGTGTGCTTCTAATTGTACAAGGTAGAATTAGAAGCTTGGATCCACATGAGATCTGATAACATTTTTAATAGTGCGAGTTATGTGATCTCGTCTTAGCAACATTTTACATGAAAATGTTTTTGGAGGGATGAGTATTAAAAATATTAAAATTCAATCTCAAGATCAAGTTGCTTAGAAGAACTGTTTTGTTGAGTATATTTAAAAATAGACACCGGTCATCTGGTTTTATCGCTTATTCTTCAAACCTGTTTACGTTTCCGATATATATTTGCCGCAGCTAAGTGGTCATCTTTGAAAACGAGGTAGGACAGCGGATTTTCCGCCAAAATTAATTTTGGAAATAACATTTTCTTTTTTGTGTCAAGTGTAGTGTTTTCATTAGTAAGCAAGTATTTCAAAGAATCACAGTCTATATTGGGTCAGGGTAGCTGACGTGGAAATGATACTCTTAAATCGCATGCGTCTAAAGGGTATAATAGCCGCTTACCAACAGGCAGAATAAATGCTTGTTGTCCACTTTTATGTTTACAAAAATTGCAAAACGATTTAATGCAAAAAATACAAATGAACTTTAAAATTACCGGTGAATCCCATACAGCAAATTATAAAATATTTGACACGTATAAGCTTACAACGTGTAATTTTATGGTTAATTGATTTCTTTTAAACTATAAAAATCAGCGACTGCATTTTTCGAGTACAAATATTACCACTTGCCTACATCTATTACCACAGCAAAGACAGGACCTATAAAATTCAAATTCATATCACACGTGTAATAAGAATCAAATCGATTGATGAATATTGAGGAATCAACATGGGAGTGGCAGGAATATCTTAAGACAAGATCAATTGTATTTGACCTTTTTGCTAATTGAAGTTCTCTTACTTCCCGTTGAATTGATTGATTCCCGAATTGATTCCCGTTGTAAAGAATCCGTACTAGGTCAAAAGTCATCCCACCACAATCTGAAAATGTTACTGGAACAAAATTGAGGTGATTTTTTGATTTTCATGTACCCTGTATAGGTCTCAATCATTTGAATTCATTAAATATTGTAAGATTATGAGATGTAACAATGCTAGGTAATAATTTAGGTAGCAGCAAACTTTCTAAATCTCGATTCAACTAAAAATATAGAAAAATGTCAAAATGTCAATGTCACTTTTATGCCACTATGACACTATTGTATGTGCTAAATCTTATTTTAGTTAAATTCAGACTTAGTATATCTTTTTTTTGCAAAAAAAAAAAATTTTACAATTGATTACCTCCATAGTTTTTTACTATTCTCAGCTACGCTCAGGTAAAAAGTATGGTAACAACAAAATGGCGAAAATATTTACGAAAATCTCTGATCGAACTGTGTCTACAAATTAATATCGTTAACATATCCTGCCAGTAATCGAATACAGGATGACTTTACGAAAACCAATACTAAAGTCAAGTTTTATCAAATGAAGTTAAAATAACGCGGCGCAACGTCTTCGCAAAAGTATCAAGTCCTTGTTCAAACTTTTTCGATTAGTTGCGTGACAATAAGTATGTAGGATGGTTGCTAAGCCTGTTGTGCGATAGGCTGTTATGTAATAACTTACATTAAGGTTATCTTGAGATAATCATACTTAATTTGATTGTTTATGATGATATGTCATTAGCCTATTATGTCATAATAAGGACTGTTCGTTTATGTTATAATCGTATTCAAAATCATCTATGTATTCAGTTTAGGATGTTACAAACACTAATGAATGTCTAGAAGCTACGCATCGGTTCGTAAATCTACGGCGGTAACCTTGTACTGAGAAGAACCGGCAAGAAACTCAGCAAGGGCTGTTTTCATTCTCACTGTATTATATACAGAGTCGTCAAATTGAAAAATGAGTTCAATATTAGGTAACTCATAGCACTTAGGAGCAATTTTTACCCACCGATCCTATAACCGGTTATTTTAAAAGATGCTTTACAACCACGACTGTAGTTTGAACATACTAAAAAAATATACGAGATCGAGCTGTTATATTTATATATAAGGCTTACTATAATGCTATTCAGTTCAATTAAATAAAATAACGACTCGTCAATGCAAATAAAAATGCAAATTACCCTGAAAAAGCTATTAAAATTATCTCTTGTCATAAAAGTATCGTTATACAAAAATTATTAATTTATTATTCTTGACTGTGTTATACTAAAGAGAACACGTAAACTTGGTTGTATGACGAAATTTAATGGGCATTAACCACGAAGAGATTAATATTTTAAGAATCAGTACCTAATTAACTTTATCGAAATGAAATCATGTCCCTCGATAAAAGTACTGGGAATGGGAACTATGCCTGAACTGATAAATGAAGCATATTTCAAAATAATTATTTTAATTTTATGGCCCTAAAACTTATATAACAACAAAAAAATACGGGCGAAAAATTCGCAGAAACAACGTTTCTTCTAAACGGTTAATTTTGCATATGATTTAATTTTTAGGTATCTGGCAATGGTAATACACATTCTGGTTTTGAAGTGAAACTCTTTTCGGAAATGGAAAAATCCTATGGAAAATATGAAACGGAAATGCGTCGCGAGCATCACACGACTATATATATTTGCGTGTGTGTGTCTGTGTGTATGTGTGGGATGCGTGCGCAGCTCTTCCCGACGAGCTGTTAAGAATGAAAGTTGGAGGGTAACAGTACGTTCAGATAATAGGCGTTTAACGCGCATTTTGCTAATGCACGTTGAGCGCGTCGTGTTAAACGACTAACATCTGAACGTACTCTAACTCGGCAAAGGCTGAAACGCTACGAGCGTCACACTCGACAATATAGATATATATATAAGTGATGCGTGCGCTGCTCCATTCCTCTATGCCTTATGCACCGCCTAATGTTAGGTTATTTAAGAAAAGTAGTTTTACTTCAGTACCCCTAGCACGAACCAATATCGAATTCGTATCGTTTGCGAATCCGAAATGTCATTGTCAAATGTGTACTGATATTTAGTTCTCGTAACGTACTTTGTGCCGCTGCTGTTTAAGTTTCCATACAAAATTTGACATTGATATTTCGGTTTGCAAACTATTCGAATTCCATAATGGTTCGTGCTAGGCGTACAGATGTGTGATCCGTGCACCCTATTTTTTATATAGGGTGGCATATAAGATTATCGACTGCCTGGCTACTAAGTTCGTCGTACAGTATTACTGCTGTGTCGTCTTCCCTAAAGCCCATCCCCGACCCCGTGGAGCCTTGGAATCATACTTACTCATACACCCACAATACCACCCAAAGGTAGTGTGACCCACCCACAGTCTCATACTGAGGTCTTCTCCCTTCTGTAAGATGGAAATTACTCTTCCATAGACAAGTACATAAATTCAGGCGGAAATCTATTATGTCCTACCTCTCTGAAAATATTTGCATTCTGTGAAATTCTCATTATGGTTTATGATTAATTTTCTCATTACAATTCATGAAACAGAAAGTCGGACAAATGACAGTCCGTTTTTGAATAGTAAATGGGGTTCTGTTTCCCTTTGCATACGGAACCTTAAAAGAAGGAACAAACACATGAGTATAAATGAGTAAAGTTTTCTTAAATTCTCTTTTCCATTTACAGCTGACTTCATACATCCTTGCAACACCACAGAACCAGCTTGCTTAATCAAAGCCACTCGTGATGCGATCCCGGAGTTCGCTAAAGGAATACCTTCACTAGGAGTGCCTTCGTTGGATCCCTTCGTCATCGATGAACTACCCATTCAGCTTCCAGGCATCAAAGTAACATTCCGCGAAGGCAAAGCATCAGGACTGAGGAAATGTGAAGTGTTAAACGTGGAGTAAGTATTTGCATTCTCTTTATTGTACTCGTATTAGAAAGAGAGCGGTTCCAGAATAGCGTTTTTTTATATGCGCATAGAAGCTCCTTTGTGGAAGCGCATGTACATAGGTGCGTTAGGCGCACCTTTTGCAACCCGTCATTGACAAAAATACAATTTCAGCAAGGGGTAGAGTTTCACTGTAATCTTTTAAAATTTTAAGGTTATATCCTAAATCGGAAACTACCATTCGAGGGAAAATCTGATAGTCTACCTTTCTTCAAATATTTTTATTCCTAGTACATCTACCTCATCTCATTTTTGTATAGGTGCAATTTACGTATAGAAAATTCAAGTTTTGAGATTCAGTATGCATCACGATTTATTTACTGTGCGGTAGGCAGTTTCACTTTCTGGTGCAGTTTTCAAATTATGCTTAATATTTGTAATATTATAATAATTCTGAACTTGAAAATATGAATATCTGCCGATTTTTTTTATTCTTTAGATTATTCTTCCGGTTTCAATTAAATTATACATTTTTCAAATTGGCAATGATTAAAGTACTCAAAGTACTTTAGTCATTGCCTGTACTTGAACTTCTTGAGGTTAGGAAAAGGTCAAGATACTAAAATCCTCTCAATATTGTTTGCAATCAAAGTATCTTGTAAATCCTATTAAAATCGGATGGAAGGTCTTGCTATAACATCAGTTTTAATGAGCTAATAAAAATTTTGATTGCTGGCAAAGTGTTATGTACTTTATGAAACAAGATGACAAGCTCCTTACAGATTCATGGAAATCTCAAAAAAAATAGGAATATCCAAATTGTCCAATATATCACGTATAATTTAAGCGTTTTGTCATAATTAGTTAGTCATATAGCTACTACTTATACTTCGTACATTATCTGCTCATCTCCTTGGGAAGATAAGCACCAATTACCACAAGAGCCTTGCTATTACATTTCTATAATAACACTAATGCGTTATTCTCACGGCTTTACCACAATGCGTGCGTTGACGAAATCTTTTGGGTTCACCCTTGAATATTATCCATGCACAATCTTCAAGGTATCATGTAAATTTTTGTTTTACCTTTGTCGTTGAGGCTATTACAATTATTTTGTCAGCCTTAGCACAAATATTGCTGTTGCTGTAATAAGCGTGTACGTAAATTTATGGTAATGCATAACTAGACATAAGTTAGAAAAGCTAGCCAGCGGTTAGTAACATAAGAAGTAGTCAATATTAATAAGTAAAGGTACAGGTTATCATAAATACTTTTACTCATAAGTACTTATTTAGCGGGCCGCCGCTATTTTTACTCGTAAATGTGTTATGAATATTATCTAACGTATATTCTTCTATCCTTTTCAGAGCATTCTTAGAAAAGAATATTTTCAACTTGCAAGTAAAGTGCAACATCACAATCAAAGGAAAATACACGGCAGTTGGGCGTCTCCTTTTATTCCCTATCAATGGTGAAGGCGAATCTAAAATTAAAATAAGTAAGTATAGTTATCACTAATAACAATTAATGTCAACATAATCAGAGATGGCAATTTGTGGAAAATGGATAGGGAGGGCTATCGCCTTATTTGCGATTATAATAAAATAATACACAAAAGTCATTCTGCCAAACGTTAAATTAAATTGATGTCTGTATGTTTTATTGGTATTACGCAGACATTCCTTATTCATGCAATTTTCATTAGTAGTGAGAACGCTATTAAACCGCGGGTACTGTGCGTACATGAGGCGTTCTAACACTTTAAAATTCATGAAAAGTTTCGGCGGTATCATATTGAAACGCGAATTCATGGCGATGGCTTTTTGAAATTCATACAGATGCCATGCAGCGAGCGGTAAATATTGCGGATGTCTGATGAGTTTACTCTGTGCTTAGAAGGGTTCTAAAAAGCGAAGGACTGTTTAATATTTAAATAGGACTGTATAATATTCAAATTTAATAATTAAATAATAATTTAGTACACGATTGTATAATCCGTTCGGATATTTTTAGTTATTAGGATATTGGATGTTTTTATATGGGAAATTAGCTGTTTCAGAATAATATATGCATAATGGTTTGAAAATTATGGGTGTATATAAAGGATACAGTGTATATACATTTATAAAGGATATTTATATCCGTTTGTACCATCGTTAACTTAAGCGATTTCGAGCAGAGAAACCCAAGCTTGAGCAACACCTAGAGTCAATTTTGTTTGTTATTAACATAAAAGTCGTAAAAGAGTCATCCATTATTTGAATTCTTCCAAAATAAGGGAATTGACAGACAATGAAACGATTAGCAAGTACATGTATGTCTTTGTTATAATTTATTAAAAAGGCAACTTGCTGAAATAGTATTTTCAGAATATTAGAAAATAGTAAAATCAAATAATCAATATTTTGTAAAACGTACGCCTAAATGAATCTGAAATGGCCAATGCTAAATGTGAAGATATTTTTTTCATTGAGTTGTTTTTCTAAGGCATTTGTAACAAAACAGTCAAGATCTTGACAATGGATACACTTTCACTACCGATATCGCTTTTATTTTTACGTCAAATGTTGTAACGTCAAATTACATAATATTATAAAGAGTAGTAACGATTATTTATAAACCTACTTATTTCTAGTAAAACGATACTCTGATAAAATATACGAATCTAGAAAGGTGATAAAGAAATTATCATTATAGAAAAAGTAAACGTTTTCGCTTTTGCGGGTCATTTAAAATAAGATTTAGTACTCTTTGTAAAACATATTTCAATATTTCCTAATATTAAATATAACAAACATAAAAACACGCCATTTTTTTCATTTTATTTAGGTATTTATTCATTAAGAGTACATCAAACAATTATTATTGTCGTTCTTACAGCGTAAGAGGTGATACATTTAACAATTGTTATAAATTGTTCTCATTCACAATTTCAGTAAACTCCATAATCGGCTTGAACATCAAGACGAAGTATTACAAGGACTCCGAGGGCCGAGACCATTTCGGCATTAAAAGCTTCAAGCATACGTTCGACTACGGCGAGAGAATCATTTACACCATCACCAATCTGTTCAAGGGCAACCCAGAGTTGAGTAAGTACCTATTGCAGTAGTGCTTTTCGCAATTGTGTTTCACGGACGATTAAATTGTAATAAAAGCAGCAGAAGTATACCCGTCTATAAAAAAAGAACTGTAGTGCAATTCTGTAAAACCCATAAATTCATCTCACTGTGTGAAACGGATCCGCTTTTGAATCTCTTTATGTTTCGCTTCATGGAATTTTCGCATTCTGTAACCAATTGTACAAGCAAGTGAAGCGAGATGTCATTTATATCCTAAGTGATTTGTAGTGTTACCATTTTAAAAGTTTTTGGTAAATCGAGATATATCGACTTAGTTATTATGCGTGAAAAAAAGCACGTAAATTTATTCTTTAGATATATTTGTAGATATGAGGCTCAAGTTTAAAGTTTTAATGAATGTAAACTTAAAATAGTCTTATTTTTAAAGTTTGGTAACATGGACGAATGAGGGCTTACTCTATGCGCATCTCTGTAATCGAGTGAGAATCGACACTAGCGCTACTAAGTGAGAGTGGCGGTTTAGTAAACTATCACAGGTGAGACCGTAACATACCTAAATGTCTTTGACGTTTCAATGGCATTCTGTAACGAATTTCAGCGCTTGTTTACACCTCACATTAAAAACCGCACTCGAAAGTAACTGTCAAAATAAAAGTTACTCATTAGCTGCGGTAATAGAAGTGATTGTACGAAGTGAGTATTTTTGTAGACTATTATCATCATAAAACAAGAGTAATTATTAAATTATTTATAATTACGTTGCTTTTGTTTATTTAAGTAATAATTCTTTAAAATTATGTCTATCTAGTATTTCAGATGACTCACTCTATTACTTGCTTTTTACTATAGAAAGCCCATGTATGATGTAGATTTGGCCAGAAGCCGCCTACAAGCCCAATTTCTGTGTAACCTTGAGTAATTTCATGTGAAGATGAATACGTGACTAAATAAAGATTTTTTCAACAATTGGAAAATGATTTAAAGTATTCATTTAGAAGAAACCAAGTGTAATGGAAAAGGATTATCCAATAGAATGAAGGTAAAGTACCTAATTGCATAACAAAAATAAAACCCAACCAAGAAACTTTTTATAACAATTATATAAGAATAAATTTTTTTTTTGTTTCAGATACTGTGTACACTTTCATTTGTGCAAATGGGAGTTACTTAGGATAATAGGGCAAAAAATTACACACATTTATCCCAACCATCAATATCAAGACTTGTAAATGAAATTGCCACCTTTTTAAGATTTTATGTCATCCAGACATAGCAAAATGCATCACAATGCCAAGTGATAAAGAATTGGTAAGTAAACTTTGATTCACTACAATTAAACAAATACTTGGGCAAATAGGTGTACAAAAGATATAATAAAGTAGAACCCCTCGGTATAAATATTACATATAATTCAAGTAGAACAGTGTTTCTTAGTTTTTGCAATCCTTTACTTTAATTATTTTAGAATATTTTATGTGGGTAATAAAATTTCTATTTGTAGTTTATTTAAATTATCTAATACTTAAGTAGTAAATGCTAACTGCTATTCAGGACCACTTTTTATTTAATTAATTTTTAATGCCTTTACATTACATATGGCGGTCTTAATGCCAGCATAGCATTCTCTACCAGTCAACCGGAAGGAACGAGAGTCAATAAACGACATTTAACTTTGGTTTAGACCAATTTACCTTTAAAAAAACTACTAGGTATATTTTTTTGGAGTTATTTTAATAAACTTTACTTTTGTTACAGATTTTTGGAGAAATTTAAAATGCCTGCAGCTGTTGGTAGTATAGACTGTACCTTTATCACCATAATAAGACCAAAAGAACCTTTAGTAAAAAGCATAAGGCAACGGTGTTGTGTAAACATTAAATGTAGTTAATGTTAATTGAATAAATATATTTTGATTTAAAAAATAGTCACTCATATTTTTAACCCTTCACCACAGTAAACTACAAAAGTAATGATTTTATTGAACTATTTCATCATCAGCCTATTCCTGCCCCCACTGTTGAGGCAGATGGAATAGGGAGACTGGCCGTGACCCACCTAGTAGTAGGACCTAGTGCGGACTGATCAGTGCTAAGGACTGCAGATGCAGCTGGGACCAATAGATTGATGTGTCATCTGAAACACGGAGAAGATCGAGATAATAAGTTTTTGGTCACCCATACAGTTACCAAAAGTTGCCTAACTTTCATGATTGCAGGACGGATACTCTAAGCACCTGCGTCTCCGGGCTCCTCTTTATTTAGATTGAACGTTTTAAATGTTCTACATAAAAACTAACTATTTAAGAATTAGTTTGTGTAGTTCCTATATTTAATATACATACCTACTTAATTCTGAATGATATATAATATAGACCGGCGTGTTGCGTAAACCCCCATTGCAATTAAAATGAAGATAAATTAATAAAAGGGTGATTATTTATAGTAAAACTCATTAAAATAAATATGTAACATTTTTATTCATAAATTATGACAGATGCCTTTGAAACTGTACATTACATTGTTACATTTTTGTCAGAGATGCTCGTCAGCCTATTTGCCAATTTTTATGTTTTTTTTTGTATATAAATAAAGAGAAAATTGAATATTAATCGATGCTTTTCTGAACAAGTATCTGAGTGGTGTTATATAAAGCAGTAGTAGTGGATCACTAAATAGCTCAGTGATTATTACTTCCATCTGTCAAAAGCAGTTGGCGAATAGGCCTACTGTGGTCTGTCTGGTGTGGTCTGCAGGTTGTAGATGTAGCTAGGCGCAGTGACCACTTCTCATGAATATAATGTAAGCAGTCTAGCACCGCAACAATAGGCCGTGTGTCATTAGACAAATTTTAACAGAGATCTTTGTTGAGATGGAGGCGAAGCATGCAAAGAAATTGTTGTGCGTAAAAAAGAAATAAAAAAAAATATATAAGTTGTTGAATAACAACAATAAATGTCACAATTATGATTGGGCCTGGGTCAGAATAAACTTATTAATGATACCTACTCTTTTTTTCTTTTAACACAAACTTTATGATTTTTATAAAAGTAAAGTATTGAGATAAGAAAATAATCAATATTATTACATTCTAGTAATACGTACTTGGAGCACTATATTCGGAAATATTCACAACTACAAAATAACAATATGTACGAATCAAATTTTCTCTTATTCTCTTTTTACAATGACACTTATAAATAAATCCGAAAATATATAAAAAGAACATAAATAAAAAAAGAATTAAAGAACTTATTTTCTAATGTGCCAGTGCCTGCGAGCGAAATATCCATAGACACTGGCTGTATTGCGACATGGACCAACGTTTGTGCGGTGGAAATAAAATAATAAAATTTTATGCCAGTCAATTTAATGGTGGCTTTTCAAACAAGTGGTTAACATAGTCTTACAAAATTAAAAACTACTGTAATTTACGTATACTTACAACATTTCGAAGAATTAGTGCCCTTTTCCTTCTTGTAAGATTAATGGGCGGGCTTGAGATCTATAATGTTTTCTACTCTACATGGTAAAATTATTTTAAAAAAGTATTTTAGATAATACACGAACAATTTTTAACCTAGAATAAAGCCCGTCACAGACGTAGCTATAATATATATTAATATGAATCATAGCAAGACATATTACAACATATTTTCAATATAAATTTTCGAGTGACCGCACATATATATATATATATATTTCTATGACGTCACCAAAATATTTCGACAGATATATTTCGGTATATTACAGTACAGTACGACCGCAGACCGATTGAGGGCAAATATATATATTATAGTATAGCTCCCGTCTGTGGTAGTTTGCTATAATATAATATATATTTCGATATATTAATATATATTATAGCTACGTCTGTGACGGGCTTAAACCAAGAATAAAAACACAGACCACAGATTACAAGATTTTATACAGTAGAGATTATCACATAACGCAAAGGCAATGCGCCGTTCGGCCAAGTTATCAAACTTTAAAAATAAGACAATTTTAAGTTTAAATTCAGTAAAACTTTAGACCTAGGCGTCGTATCTACAAATTTATCTAGAGAATCAATTTAAGTGCATAGAGCAACACGGCCGAAGCGGCCAGGAGGGAAGTAGGCATTCACAGCTTTTCCCTCTGCCGATTTTCCCCCGCAACAGGCCCAGCTCACGAACAAAACTAGTTGTGCTCGGATATTTCTCTAAACTGAATCAAGTCACGTGAGTGTATGTTAGGAGATCGAAAATGCCAAAATGTTCTGTAATTTTTTTTTAAACATGTATGGAACATAAAACTAATAATAGGATGGTGTTATATTTCACATATAAGTAGAATTATTAACATAGTGGTGTCGATTCTGGCATGATTCTCAAAACCTAAATTTCAATTTGACAACATTATATCCTTGTCATTCTCTATACAGAATGAAGAGGAGAGACTGATGTAAAAAAAAGTTTTAAGTTGAGAATCATGCCAGAATCGACACTATTATTTCTATTTTACCACTTTTAAAAACACAATGGTGTCGATTCTGTCGTGATTATCTAAACTTAAAACTAAATTTAACATCAATTTCTCCTTTTCATTCTGTATAAAAAATTACAAGGATACACTGTTGTCAAATTTAGTTTAGGTTTAGAGAATCATGCCAGAATCGACACCAATATAAATATTATTTTGTTAAAATTCAATCGTCGGACTTGTTTCACAGAACAAAAACCCTGTCAGTACATGTTTTGCATCCGTTATTCATGCCAGACTCGATTTCATTGATTAGATACCTGTCGAAAAAACGACATTAAGTACTATAAGTAGTTTTCGGAACTCTTTAACGGTCCGCGAGTGACTGTCATCCAAGAAATGAATATATGGCGTGATTTATTCGTACACAAAAATATAAATATGTGTGCAGGATTTGGCGGTGTATTGTTTATTTTTTTATGCGTGTGTCATAAGTACAGTTTATTTTTTTTTCGAATGTATATTGGACTGCCTTTGTGTGCATACTCCTCC